GGGAGGGGAGCTGCTGCATTGTAAATTTTGGTCAATGACATGAGACAAAGTATATGTGAACTGCTGTATGAAAAGTGAATTTACTCTGTAACTCTTCACCCAAATCCTAATAAAAAAAAAAAAAATTTGGAGATTTTGGAGAGATGGGGTCACATCTGTTTGGTTCACTAACTGGATACCCAGAACCTCCAACAGGACTGTAGTAAGTATGTGTTGAATAAATCAAAGGCATAAAGACTCCCCATTTGTCAGGGGTCCCCTGCCCTCCATTCTATCCTATATCTTTGCAAATGTCTTTTTGTGCTTAGATCTCTTCTTTGCATTTGTGAGACCCCATCTTCTATTTCTACACTGTGAAGCATGAAAAGCACCACCTGATCTTTTCTTCTCCCCAACCCTGCACTGAGGCCTTCATGGGCACAGCTTAAGTATTCCTGTAGCCTTCTGTGGCTGGGCAGAGGATTAATAGAAAATAAATAGATCTCACTAGAAAAATCTTTCTGGAAAAGCTTAAGATTGTCTAATGGGCATTTTCTTAGAGGAGACTGCATGAAAGGTGAGAATGGAGGCCTCAGAGAAGACCCAGCCCCTCAGTGGTGGAATGTCCGAACTAGAAAGGATCTTTAAAAAGATCCAAAGAGAGCTATTACGTTGTGGGAAATTGCAGTCAATGTCATGAGATAAAATGTATATGGAAAATGAATTTGCTCTGTATGGAAAATGAATTTGCTTTGTAAACTTTCACCCAAATCACAATAAAAATTTTAAAAAATATATAAAAACGATCCAGCCAACTCACTTATTTTAAATGCTATTTTAGGAGAGGAAAAGACTATCCAAGCTCTATCTGATAACACTTATTTCTATCCAAAATTCACATAATACAATTCTAGAATAAAGACTTTGACATGATTTGATAGCAAGTATCCCAAATTGAGCAGTTAAGTGTTGTGTGGTCCAACACTCGATTTGCTGCCCTAACAAATTTTAATTTCCAGAATTCCATGTTCTCTATCAAATGCTTACCATCCCCCATCCCCTTAAACACTTTTTGTCCTTTCCTCATGACAAAGCACTGCTCCCTTATTTCGAATTTGCCATGCCATTTTTGTGCTTTGTATGTGAAAGTAATTGGAAATAGCATACTATTCAATTATTTGCTTTAAGTACCTACTAATTTTCCACTGGTAATCATGCAATTTAAAACCAAAAACTCCCTGCCATTGAGTCGGTTCCGACTTACAGCAACCCCCCTTGGGCTTCTGAGGTGGTAAATCTTTACGGAAATAGAACTGCCCCATCTTACTTCCACAGAGTGGCTGGTAGCTTTGAACCGCCAACCTTCTTGTTAGCAGTCAAATGCCTTAGGCACTACACCACCAGAGCTCCTTACTTCTGGTTTGTAGTTGTTGTTATGTGCCATGGAGTCAGCCTTGACTCATAGTGACCCCTCCTTGGGTTTCCGGGGCAGTATCACTACGGAAGTAGATTGCCCAACCTTACTTCCAAGGAGTGGCTGGTGGGTTTGAACTTCCAGCCTTCTGGTTAGCAGTCAAGTGCCTTAGGCACTATGCTACCAGAGCTCCTACTTCTGGTTTGTTGTTATTTGCCATAGAGTCGTCCCCGACTCCTAGCGACCCCTCCTTGGGTTTCTGAGGCAGTTATCACTACGGAAGTAGGATTGCCCAACCTTCTGGTTTAGTGACCTATATTTCCAGAAAGTGAATCACATCTTTTATCTGATCAAACCCTCAAAAGTATTCCCATTACAAGTAGAGCAAAATTCACACATACTACCTTGGCCCTTCCTACTTCTTTACTCCCTTTCATATTGCATTGGCCTACCAGGTCTCAGCATTCCTTATCTTTTTGTTCCTGGAACAAACTAAGCTCATTTCCAGCTAAAACCTTTACATCTGCTCTTCTCTTTGCCTGGAATGTTCTTCCCCGACCTTCACATTCCTCCTACATCATTTAATTCCTTGCTCAGAAAAGCCTTCCCTGACTAACAGCCCATATACAATGGCCACCTACTTCTATTTTCCCTGCCCCACTCCCTATCCCTTTATTTTTTCCAAAGCATTTCTTGAAATCTTATCACTTATGTGCTCGTCTATTTAATATATCTTTCCCACTAGAAGGTAAACTCCCACAAGAGATGGGACTTCATTTGCCACCATAACCCCAGAACTAAAACAGTATGTTGTTGTTGTAATGTGCCATCGAGTTAGACCCGACTCATAGCGACCCCTCCTTGGGTTTCCGAGGCAGTATCACTACGGAAGTAGATTGCTCCATCTTCCTTCCGAGGAGTGGCTGGTGGGTTTGAACCTCCAGTCTCCTGATTAGCAGTCAAGTGGCTTAGGCACTACGCTATCAGAGCTCCCAAAACAGTATAGTAGGTACTCAATAAAGTGGTTCTCAATGAATATTTGTTGACTTAATGAAGTGAAATCAGGAAAATGGTGAAGGTAAAGTATATCCTTACAGCACTTAAAAGGGCCAGGGAATCTCCACTGCCTCAACAAAAATTCAAATTAGCAATGCAAGACTTTAAGGACATGAATATTTCAGTAAGTATTTACTTGACATCTACAATGCTTAATATACATCTGTAGGGGATGGAAAGATGTGGAAGACCTGGTGCTCACCTTTTAGGTATTTTTAGACTAAACGGAAGAAGGTGAAAGATCTGTACAACGAAAACATAAAGGAGAAAGTGCCACAAAAGATATATGGAAATTCAGAGGTTGAGATGGATTTGTTGTCATTTGGGCAGGACTTTAAAGGATGCATGAGGTTTGGTTTGACATAGAAGAACAAGGGCTGATAATATTTCGTACAGACTGAACAGCACAAGCAAAGACAAAACAATTGTCAAGATCGGCTGACAAGCCAGACTAGGCATCAATATGCTCGAATATAGGTAGTAAAGTCTGTAAAGGGAGGGAGGTCCCAAATTGAAGGATTTAAAAGCTTTTACTTAGTAGGTTCCGTGGATCTACCCATTTTACTGTGTTGTTGTTTGCCATCGAGTCGGCCCCGACTCATAGCGACCCCTCCTTGGGTTTCCGAGGCAGTATCACTACGGAAGTAGGAATGCCCAACCTTCCTTCCGAGGATTTTACTGTGAGGACTGTCTATTTGTGGTCACAGTTGGGAAGGGACACATGTTGGTCATATTGGTCTTATACTGGTTCTGTTAGCTGCAGATGTGCTGAGTTCTGATTACTCTTACCTTAGCCCATTCGGTGGTATCCACCCAGTACAAGGTGATTTTTCGGGCGATCATGACTTCCTGGACTCTCTTGGGCAACAACTTCTCCATTACCTGCTTAGGGGTGGGTGGCAAGCGCTGGGCCTGGGCCTCGCATACAGACACGAACTGCAACAGCTCCCTCTGCGAACGTGGACACGGGGCCAGGAGGAAGACTGCATTCACAAAGCCGCCAAGAGCAGTCTCGGCTTCCTTGGCCTCGCTCTCCACGTCCAGCAGTCTCCTCCCGCTGCTCCGCAGGAACGGCTTTGTAGGCGACGTAATCTCGGGCCGGTCCCACTGGTAATCCAGCAGCGTCTCCATCAGAGCGCTGTGCGTGTGGGTGACCCTGGGCGCGGGACCTGGCAGATGGGCGCCGAGGGCAAGATCCCCAAGCCTGGCCTCTAGTTCCTCCTCGAAGTCCTCCCAGGAGCGGGCCCCAAGCTCGCGGAAGTCAGGCACTCTGGAAGGTCTACTTCGCGCCCCCTGCGAGTCAAAGAACTTGAAGGCCCAGTGGACCCTAGCCAGGCCGAATCGGCAACTCAAGTAGGTGAGGAGTCGCAGGGCGGCCCGCCGAACCGGGCTCTGGCGAGTGGAGCCGCCCGCAGTGTCCAGCAGTATCATTACCTTGTGACAACAAGCCATGCCGACTGCGCCGCGGGGCCGCGGCTCGGGCTGCGGCCCGCGCCCCTCTACCCTAGACCCTTTTTTCAGGGAACCAGCGCCATTCACTGCTTCCCTCAAGAGGCCTAGGTCGAAAGCCTCCCGCGCTCTCCGAGAGCCGCTACCATTGGCAGAGTTAGCTCCGTAGGTCAGCTCCTATTGGTAGGTTGCCTTACGTAAGGTACGTGGGCAACTTCCATTCTAGGCGCTGACTGGGAAGGCGGTGGGGAAAACCTTAGCTTGATTGGTGGAAGGCGTGACTGTGGGCGGGGCGCCGTGTTCCGGAAGAAAGTTAGCATTCATTGGCCCGAGCCTTCGTTTTAAAATTTAAAGAGGGGTGGTGCTTCGGGGTGTGTCGTGAAGTTTCTCTTGCGGAGAGAGGCCCTTTTTTAGGCAATTGTGCGCAGGCATGGGTGCAGAAAGATATTAAGACGTTGAAAACTACTACCTTGAAGAGAGTTTGAAAGGGTTGATCGAACTCGCTTGAAGTTGCCGTAGACTTTCTGTGGCGTATAATCTGAACATGAAGGCTTTAATCTTCTGTAATTTAAAAAAATTATAGAAATTAAAAAGTTCACTCCCTTTGCCCCAGTAACTTTCAGGAATTTAGCCAAAGAAAGTAATGGAAGATCCGGATAAAACATAAATGTACATTACAAAGTTTATTTAACTTGAGAAAAATGGGAAATAAATTGAATGAAAACCGTTAAATAAGATATGTACAGTTCCAGAGAAACATCGTGCAGCTTTTAAAAATGTTTTTGTATCTAATGTTAAATTGAAAAAAAAAAAAAGTTGACTGCAGTCACCAAATTGTACTTGTAGTAATTGCTGAATTAGTATATGTTCTGCTGTGTATATTCTCAACAGCAACAATAAATAAAAAAAAGTGGACCGTAAAACAGCACATGTAGTAAGATCTTTCTATCTGCCTGTTTAAACTGTCAAGATAATATTGTGAACCGAAGTTCTTTATGATTTTCTCTGGGTGGTGAGATTATGGTGATTTGAGGAAAATCTTTGATTCTTTTCCTGAATTTTCTACAATACTATATTACTTTTACATTCAAAGGAAAATAATCATTAAAGAATAGAAAGAATCTTCTCGTGGCAAATGGAAGAATCCACGGTTGTAGAGAAGGTTGTTACTCCAGGTGGAGTTGGTTGTCATTCCTACTATTGGTTGTAAACTAAAAACCAAACTCACTGCTGTGGAGTCAGATCCAACTTATAGCGACCCCTCTTGGGTTTTTGAGGTGGTATCACTACAGAAGTAGATTGCCCAACCTTCCTTCCAAGGAGTGGCTGGACTATTGGTTGTAGCAGCAGAGAATTTAAGCTCTCTCTGGCTAGGACTGGCTTGCCTTCAAGTTTCCTTCAGAACCAGTGATTCCCTCAACTATTCAATTCAGTAAAAACCATTCACTGATCCTTTGTAAATTGTCTATGAATAAAAGAAACTAACATTTCCTGATACATCCACAATCATTTTAGAACAAAAAACACTTGTTAGTCTTAATATGTTAGGCATTTGCCAAAAATGTATACACACACCTATTGTCTTATTGGGAGCTCTGGTGCCATAGTGCCTAAGGCATTTGACTACTAACCAGAAGGCTGGGTGGTTCAAACCCACCAGCCACTCTGTGGAAGGAAGACTGGGCAATGTACTTCCGTAGAGATACTGCCTCGGAAACCCAAGGAGGGGTCGCTATGAGTTGGATCTGACTCCATGGCAGTGAGTTTTTTTTTTTGTTTATTGTTTTATCATTCATCCATTCAACAAATACTCATAACTGGGAACAAAACAGACAAAAATTCTTCCTCTCAGGGAGCTTACACTCTATTGGGGGTGGGTAAACAATAAACAAACAAATCAGAGGGGAGCTCTGGTGGCGTAGTGCCTAAGGCATCTGACTGCTAAACAGAAGGCTGGCAGTTCAAACCCACCAGCCACTCCCCAGAAAGAAGGTTGGGCAATCTATTTCCGTAGATTGAAACCCAAGGAGGGGTCACTATGAGTCAGACCTGACTCCATGGCAGTGGGTTTGGTTTTGATATAGAGAAAAAGTAAGCAGAGAAAGGGATAGGAAGTAGATAAGAGTATGCAATTTCAAATAGGATGGTCAAGGAAGCCTCACTGAGGTGACATTTGAATAGACACTTAGAGGTGAAGGAAAAAGCCTTGTGAACATCTGAGGGAAAGGTTCCAGGAAGAGAGACCAGCAAATGCAAAAGCCCTAAGGAAGGAATTTGCTCCCTTAATCTCAAAGCTAACCTTTTAACCAGTAAAACCAGTTGTAGAGTAGACTCTGACTCACAGTGATCCTGTGTGTGTCAGAGTAGATGTGCACCATAGGGTTTTCAATGGCTGATTTTTAAGTAGATTCCTAGGGCTTCCTTCTGAGCACATCACCTCAGAACGTTATGTGTTCGCACCACCCAGGACTCCAACTTTAGAAGGAGTTATTATTAAATTCATTCTTTTACAAACAGAGGAAACTGAGACTCAGAGCAATTTAGGATCTCCTCCATGGTTTTATACACAGCAGAACAAAATAATCAAATTCCAATTTCAAAGAGTAGGCTCTTCCCTGGATAAAATGCAGTCCTTGCAAACTGGATTTAAAAACTAGCTTCACAACTGGTACACCATCCAATCTGCAGCCTATACAACTATGAGACCAGAAGAACTAGATGGTGCCTGGCTACACTGTCATCCACTTGGAAGGGGATCTATGTAGGAGATTCTTGATAGAGAGGGAGAACAATGTGGAACAAAACTCAAAATCACTTGGAGGGAAAAAAAGGGGGGGGGACCAAGTTTACTGGTCCGATAGAGCCTGGTGGAACCAGTGAGACTATGGCCACTAATTGCCCTTCAGGTCTGGAATTGAACCCACACCTGTGGTTTCCAACCAAACAAAAGACAGCATATGAGTTGAACATTTACCTCAAGTAGATACTCTCCTTGGAGAGAAAAATCTTGGGAGAAAGAAGGGCTGCTTATGCACAGGGAGACAGCTCAGGGAGCAGGAGTCCATGGAGGGATGGATACTGGGAAGAGGTAACTATGGGGAGGAAGTGGGAGGGGAGCTGTTGCATTGCGGTAAACTGTGGTCAATATCATAAGACAAAGTATATGTGAACTGCTGTATGGAAAGTGAATTTGCTCTTTAAATCTTCACCCAAATCACAATTAAAAAACAAACAAAAAAAAACCTAGCTTCAGAAGGAGCAACCCTGAACACTTTTAAGAGTAATGAAGGTGGACTTCCGATAACACGGAGGAATAGGCGGACAAGCTACATAGACCCTCTTTGACAAAAAAAAAGAAAGAAAGAAAGAAAAACCAATTGACAGAGATACAGAAGATACTCCTGGAGCTCTGAGCTTTGAAAGGAAGTATACAGAAGTGGATTAGGCACCAACTAGTGGAAAAACTTGAACGAAAACAGGACCCGAGAATAAGCTCCATTTGCCAAGGATGGCAGGGACATACAGGAAGCTGTGCTGCCAACTAGTGAATAGAGGAGCACAGCACAGTACCCTGCTTACGTAAATAACAATACAAACAAAACAAAGAAAACAAAAATTATGGGCAAGTCACTCCAACATAACCAAACCAAACTCCTGCTGTCAAGTCGGATCCAACTCATAGCGACCCCTTCTTGGGTTTCTGAGGTGGTATCACTATCGAAGTAGATTGCCCAACCTTCCTTCCGAGGAGTGGCTGGTGGGTTTGAACCACCAGCCTTCTGGTTAGCAGTCAAATGCCTTAGGCACTATGCCACCCGAGCTCCTCTCCAACATACATTCACCAATTAAATATAAACATACAAAAAAATGTCACAATGTCTTGGAGACAACAGAGCATCACAGTGCACACAAAGAAGCAAGATAAAGCAGGAGAAACAAGGGACCGGAATACAGACCCAAAACACATCCCTGAGGAAGAAGCAGCATTGGAACTCCCTGTTAAGGAATTCAAAAGAATTATATTTGGGCATCTTCAATGAATTGAGAGACAGGTCAAGGAAAACACTGACAACATTGAGGAAAACACAGAGAAAACCCTATAACAATTTTGAAAGACAATACAAGAACAAAATGACAAAATAAATGAAAAATTAGAAATGATACAAAATCTACACATAGAAATCCAGAAGATTAATACTAAATTTTCAGAAATAGATAAGACATTGAAAGGGCAAAGGAGTAGAATTGAATCAATGGAAGACAGAAGTAGTGAGATTGAAGGCAAATACCTCAATACTTCTTTAGAAAGCAACCAGTCAGAAAAAAGATCAAAGCAAAATGAAGAAAGCCTAAGATTCATGTGGGATACCATCAAAAGGAATAAACTACATGTAATTGGAATTCCAGAACAGGAAGAGACAAATAAAACCACAGGAAAAATTGTTGAAGATTTGTTGGAAGAGAATTTTCCTGGTATGATGAAAGATGAGAATATATCCATTCAAGAAGTCCAACGAACCCTAAACAGGATAGACCCCAAAAGAAAATCACCAAGACATATCATCATAAAACTCACCAAAACCAAAGACAAAGAAAGAATCCTGACAGCAGCATGGGAAAAATGAAAAGTTACCTACAAGGGCCAGCCAATAAGACTAAGCTTGGATTTCTCAGCAGAGACCATGCAGGTGAGAAGACAATGGGATGGTATATATACAACCGTGAAAGAAAAATTTCCAACCAAGAATTATGTGCCCAGCAAAATTGTCCCTCAAATATGATGGTGAAATTAGGACCTTTCCAGATAAGCAGAAATTAAGGGAATTTGTTAAAATCAGACCAACCTTACAAGAGATGCTAAAGGGAGCCCTTTGGACAGAGAAGCAACAACAGCCAACAACAACTGACCATCAACACACATGATGATATAACCCAGAAATCAACCCAGCTATGGAAGTATTCAAAGTAAATAAGCCTACAATATTGTGAACAGGGAAGCAGAG